GCTGCAAGGACTATGTTGACATACGCGAACTTACCACAATATCTTTGGGCTGAGGCTGTATCCACTATGTGTTTTACTCAGAACAGATCTTTCATTCATCGGCGTTTTAATATTACACCTTATGAAATACTAAATAACCGGAAACCTAATGTGAAATTCTTTCATGTCTTCGGATGTAGGTGCTTTATTATGAATCTCAGGGATAACCTTTCGAAATTTCAAGCTAAAGCTGATGAAGGGATTTTCCTGAGGTATTTGCAAATTTTAGTGGCATATCGTGTATTGAACAAGCGTACACAAAAAGTGGAAGAAACTTTTAATCTTACATTTGATGATTATTATATCAAACAATCTCAAAATTTTCAAAATCTACCAATTTTGAAAGAAAATCAAGATGAATCTGAACCAATGCAAATGTTGGATTGATTATTATTTGATATTTGGACTTTCAGATCATGCTGGAAATGCTAAAGAAAATGCTCATTATAATCATATCCCTGAACTTTCAAAGCTTACTGATGATTCAACATCATCTCCTCAAGAGATAGACGAAAGTATGCAGAATGATCCAATGGAGGGGGAGCATTTGGATTCGAACACTCTGATGGAGGGGGAGCATTCTTTCGAGGGGGAGAATGAGAGAGATAATGTTGATGTTGAGGCAAGAGAGATTAAATGTTAATGTTGAGGAGGAGCTATTACAAAATAATTAAAATTATCATGATGTTAATGATGTTTGTTCAATTGCAGGCTCAGATAATGATGAATTGTACGAATACACATCTTTGGACTTCGATCCAGCTTATCCACCAATGGACAAATGTACAAAAGAGCATCCGAATGAGCAAATAATTGGTAATCCACAAGAGGGATTTTTAACAAGGGCTCAAATTCGTACATAGAATGAGGTATTAAATACTCATCAAGAGTTTTGCATGTTCAATGTTTTTATATCTAAAATTGAACCAAAGAACGTAAAGATTGCAATGGAACACTCAGATTGGGTTCTTGCAATGCAATCTGAATTGTCTGAATTTGAAAGAAATAAGGTTTGGAGATTAATTCCTAAGCTAAATGATGTTTCAATTGTTGGTTTAAAATGGATTTTAAAAAATAAACTGACAAAGATGGAAATGTCATTCAAAACAAAGCCAGACTTGTTGTTAAGGGGTACTCTCAACAAGAAGGAATTGATTACGAAGAAACTTTTGCCCGTGTCGCAAGACTCGAGGCGGTTCGTATATTTTTTGCTTATGCATCTCACAAAGACTTTGATGTTTATCAAATGTATGTGAATGTGCATTTCAGAATGGAGAACTCGAAGAAACTGTCTATGTGGAACAACCTCCAGGTTTTGTTAACGAAGAACATGCTGATTATGTTTATATCTTAGATAAGGCAGTTTATGGTTTGAAACAAGCACCACGAGCCTGGTATGCAACTCTTACTTTATTTTTGAAGCAATCTAAATACAAACAAGGATCAGTTAACCCCACATTAGTTCGTAAGAAAGTTGGGAATCATCTTATGACTGTTCAAATTTATGTTGATGATATTATCTTTGGCTCAACTAACCCTGCTTTGTCTAAAGAATTCAAAGACTTGATGAAAAGTAAGTTCAAAATGAGCATGATGGGAAAAATTAATAATTTTCTTGGTTAAAACATTCATCAAAGTAGAGAACGAATCTTCATTAATCAAGAAAAATATACGAAGAATCTGCTAGAGAAGTTTGGATTAACGAATAGCACAAAGTTACGAGTTCCAATGGCAACTGGAATCAAACTAACTCCTTCGTTAGATAAACCTGTAGTTGATCTCACTTTATATAGAAGCATGATTAGATCTTTACTATATTTAACTCCTAGTAGACCTGATATCATGTTTTTTGTATGTAATTTTGCTAGGTATCAAGCAAATCCACGAGAACCACATCTCATTGCTATAAAAAATATCTTTCGCTATCTAAAAGGAACTCCTTCGCTAGGATTGTGGTATCCTTCGAATACAGGATTCTTTGTTCAAGCATATTCGGATGCAGATTTGGGAGGTTGCAATCTTGATAGGAAAAGCACAAGTGGAGGATGTCAATTACTCGATAGTAAGTTGGTGAGCTAGCAATCGAAAATGCAGACATGTGTTTCAATATCAACGGCTGAAGCTGAATATGTTGTTGCTGCTGCATGCACTTCACAGATAATATGGATCTAAAGTCAATTACGTAATTATGCAATTAACATGAAAAATATTCCTTTATATTGGGATTCACAAAGGGTAATAAGAATTTATCATAATCCTGTGCAGCATTCAAAGACTAAACATATAGCTCTTCGTTATCACTTCATCAAAGATTATGTGGAGGAAGGAAATATTGAAGTACATTTTGTGAAAACAACTGATCAGTTGGCTGATATTTTCACAAAATCTTTGGATGAAAAATCATTTGTACGAATTTTGGAAGGACATGGAATGATTGATGGAAATTCAATTCCATGCGAAAAAGACAAACAGTGATTACAAGAAAACGATAAAGAAAAATCATTAAGTATTCAGAGGTTACTATTCACAGTTAACTCTTCGAATGCTTCGAATTCGTATGATTGGTATTTTTATTAGCTTGGTAAAACTTCGAATATTTGCAACGAGTACTTTTATTTGTTTTGTTCTTTATTTTTAAAAAAAATAAAAAAACATCAAAAATATTTTCTTATTATTTTGTTCTTAATTTTTGAAAAATCAAACAACAAAAAGATATTGTTTCTTCTTTCTTTTTAAATACTGTGTTGCAGATATTCATGAAGATATAAAGAAGATAAGTCTTATAGTTCTAGGGTGAGGTACATTTTTTATTCTATTCTTCGAATTTCAAATTTTTTACTAGTTAAGATGTCCCTAGAAGCATGCTGTTGCATGTTGTCCGAAGCCTCGAAATGACTCAATGTTTGAAAGCATTAATGAAATTTTCATACGAAGATTTCTTCCCAATTAGGCTTACATTCTCATTAGTCCAATGAGCTACCTAACTCTTTTCACATGAGTTAAGAGTTTACTGTTCGGTCCAAAATAACATACGTACATTTTCCTTCGTATACCAATCTTTTTCATCTCAAAATTCATACACTATCACACACAAAGACATATATCCAAGAGGTTTCTGATCAAACCAATCAAAACTTAGATATATCACAAATCTATGTTTATGATCGGACATCATGAGATCGTGATGGAAGTGAACCCAACTCAATTAAACTTTAAAGAATTGATGGGGAACTTGTTCTAGATTTTAACGAAACATTTGTTTAGGTACCTTCGTTCGAAACTCCAAATCATATTCATTTCTTATGTGTGGTCTTGATCAAACATTTGAAACCCATGATGTTTGTTACCCAACAAGATATAGAATACAGTTTTTTTTAATATGATTTCAGTGTGAGTTTTATCTGAAATTCCATGTTACTTAAAAGTTTTTCAAAGCAAACTTGTCACTGACTACACCGGTCAAACAAGTAATTTCTGTTACAATTACTCACCTTATGTTTAGGTTGATATGTAACGAAATTCATTAAACCACCTCAAAATCCTTAGAAAGGAAGCCCTTCGATATTTATTTACAAGTATTCGGTTGTAATCCATGGGAAAATACACAAGTTGTTGATTATCTCTCTTGATAATTAACGAACCAATCTCTGCCCGGGGTTTTAGCTGCCTTCGTGTCAAATTAAAATTTTGACATCACTGAATATCCAAAAAAAGCTAATTACTTCTCATCTTTATTCTTTCACACTTGACACATACGAAATCCTTGAGGTTCTGAGTAATACCAACTCAGGCTGATGATTTCAAGAATCTGGCAAATGACTTTACTTTGAAACCATAAAGTAAAAGAGCCTTGCCTCCATCCGAAGGGTTCTTATGGTTACTATTCTATTGGGGCAAACAATCCATGTTGTTTGAAGGGACTGTTTGAAGTCTATGCGGGTTTTGAGGAGACGTGACAGTTACTTTATCACGCATGGTTACTTTTTCATCATCATGACGCGGTTTTCTCAGTGACACGTCACAGATCATTAAATTCATATCCCGCTTTGATTTCAAATTTTAGCGTTACATATAAAAGGGGATTTAAGGTTTCATTATCAATTTACGTTTACATATTCCCAAATTTACTCGGATAAACATCCCACTCTCAAACCCTAACAATGGCGACTGCTAATCCTAATGCAACTTTGTCTCACACCACCGATGATGTAACCTCATTGCCAATAATGAAGATTCAAAGCACAAATTACCAAGTTGAAGAAAATGTCTCTCTTTATCCTGAAGAATTGAAACTGCTCATTTTTGCTCTACAAAGTTCCGTATTATCAAAAGCCATGTTCAACTCATTCTCTGTTCCTCTTTCATGGTTGTCTCAAGCTGGATCAACAGCTACTTACTCTAAAGCGTTGGATGCGGTGTTGTTTAATCTTGTGACTAATAAGAAGGTTAGACTTTAAAAGAAGCTTTTCTGCCAAGTTCTTGATATACCTAATTCTCCGCCATACGTCACTTTTACATTCCCACAAATTGTCCACATGTTCAATGAAATGGGTCATCAACCCCAATTGACAAAGATAAGTGATTTCAAGAAGTCGGGACTTCCGAGTGTTTGGAATTTTTTGTTTGGTATTTTTCTTAGATGCTTGATCGGAAGAACTGTTGGGTCAGACAAGGGAAGGATGGAAGTTTATGCGATGGTATCAGGTTTATACTATGATCTTCAGGTTAATTATTCTACTCAATTATGGAAGGAGTTCTTGAAGAGTATAGAGAACACGAATGCTCTTCATGGCATTTCGTGTGCTCAATATTGGACTTTGATTTTACAATATTTTTATTAGAAGGAAGGGATTTTGGCTCCGGCAGACGAAGAAAAGGTTGTGTTTCATGGTTATAGTTGTCTGAATGATGCAGCTAATGATACTGATGAATTTCCAATAGTTGCTCGCATTCCTGATGCAATGCTGAAAAGAGTTAATCCCAACAACACAGTTCTAATTACTTACTTACAATCCATTGATACTTCTGTTGAAACCGGGGTTCTTTTGGCTAGAGAAGAAGAAAAGAATACTAAACGTTCGAAGAAGGTTGTTGCTAAATCTTCTAAGAAATCTGTCAAAGAATCTACATCCACAAAGAGTCCGAAGAAAGTACTAATTACAAAAGTCGAGCCAATCCAACAAGAAGTTGTTGTCACTGATACCCTATCTACTCAAAAGGAAATCATTCGTTCAAAAACTGGTGCTCATCCAAGAATCAAGATGAAGTCCAAGCAAAAGAGCCGATCACCTCTAACTAATGTTGTTCGCAAACGACAGGTTTCACATCAAGGAGTTATTTTTCATGAAATTCCTGCTCCTGCTTCACTGTCTTCTAAGAAGAGAAGGGCAACCGATATGGCCAAACACATACTGAAGAAGAAGAAGGGTAGGGTGATTATTTCATCAGAGTCTACTGCTGATGAAAATGAAACAATTCCAGACACACCAGAAGCTGATCTTCAGAAAGATTCTTCTCATATTGCATCAACTGATGTAATACCACCCATAGTTTCGATTGCTAAGACAGTTTATATGGAGGCACGAACTTCTGACATTTTGGTAAACATATCTAATATGGATGCAAGTGTCACAATGTGTGAGGATGCTTCGCATGCTGAAAACAAAGGTAAACCTTCGGATGTTACCCCAGAGACAATTGTTTCTTTACCTTCACAGCTTACACCTATCATTCCTACTACATCCACAACTGATTATCCTACCTTTGAAAACATCATCAAACAACCATTCACATCTCTTTTTTCTTCACAATCCACCGATCCACCTACCACCACTTCACCAATAAAAGATTCTTCTTTCATGGAAACTGAACACAAGTCCGAAGGTTTTGGCGGAACCTTTGAAAATCTAGAGTTTGATGAAGAAGAGACTAACTTCCCAGATCACATGCTTATGAAAATGAAACAGTTCAAGATATTGAATACAAAACTCAATTCAATTCTTCAGTCTCAGGCTGATCTTAGGGGAGGTAATTCAGTAACCAGTCTCAAAGTGGATGGTATGCTAAAGATGGTTAAAGGGAGGCTTTCTTCGAAATCTTCCAGAATGATCAAGGATTCTGTGTCTCGTCTTCTGGAGAAAATTAATCTTTGTGATCAAAACAATGAGATGAGGGTCAATGCTTAGAAATCTGCATTTGCAGGTGATCTGAAGGAGTTAAAGTCGGTTGCAAAGGAGAGACATGTCTTGTTTATTCAAGATGTGAAGAAAGTGAGAGAATACGTGAATTATAAACTCCAATAACTTCAACAAGATATGGAGAAAGAGATTGCAAATGTTCGTACTGAATTTGCATCTCTCATTCAGAAGGTGGATATCATATGTGATGCAGTTACTAAATTTGCTAAATTGTACGAAAGTCTGAGTCATCAGATTTCTCAACTTTCTACAATAGAGAACAAAAAATTCATGGAGGTTTTCACGTTGCAAAAGGAGCTTAAAACCTTATCTTCTACACCTGCTACGTCTTCTCTACTCTCCTCTGAAGATCTTATCAAGAAATTTTCTCAATTTGAAGCCTTACTTATTCAGCAGTTGGCTCCTCTTTCAAGAATATCTAGCCTTCTTCCCACCATGGATCCCCCACCTGCCTGCACAGGGGTGCAAGGGGGAGAAAAAAAAACACAAGGTTCGAAGGCTGGTGGCAATGATGCGAAGTTAGTAGGAAAGGTGATTCCTTCCAAAATCCCAACATCAAAACCAGTGCTAGCAACTGCTGATCCTATCTCTTCAACAATAGTTACAACTATGCCAATCACAAGACCAATTTCGAAAGGAATTGTGATTGGTAAGTCTATTGACACTGGTAGAAGTCATACAAAAACAAAACAAGTGATAGAGGATTTTGTTTTGAACGCAAAGGGAAAGTCTATACTAATTGAAAAATCTAAAGAAGAGAAGAAGGCAGAGGCTGAGACAGAAGTAGAGAAGATGAGGATGATTCAAAGCATCATGACTCAAAGGGCTAGTGATCCTCCTGGCATGTAAGGGTGATCTATCAAAGAACTACAATTATGAAACAATTGAAGCCAAGGTTGCATTTAATCACATGAATTCGTTTGAGAAGAAGCCTAAATAGAGTTATATTGTCACGAATACTGATGCAAGCCAATTGGACTTTCCAATTAAAGAAATGATGTTTATCATGCCTCAATTTAAAGCAGAAAGTAAATTCAAGGAGAAGGATGAAGCTACTCAAATGAAGATAAGATTTCATGCGGTTCTTGCCAAGTCTGCAGAAGAAGTATCGTCCTTGATTAAGATTAAAAAGGTCATAAGTATAAAGAAGGATGTGGTTTTCGAAAATACAGTCCAAAACATGAAGTATATTGTGACCAAGGCAAATGGCAATGTGTGCGAGTTTACAATAGCACACTTTCATTTGATGAACTTCTATGATCTTATACAAGTTGCATTACTGCTAAAGAAAGATCATTTTCATATCTTCAAAACACAGAGCTTGATGAGTACAAGCTGGGAGTTACTCACACCAAGATTTTTATCGAAAATTATTATAAGTGTTTAGAAATGACTGATGTGGAGTTGGCTACAGCTAAAGGTCTGGAAATTACAGCACCAATGGCTCCTTTGAAGACTCAAGCAGACTTAAGAAAATATGCAGATGGTGAAATATGCTTGAAGCCTTTTGGCTTAGTCTTCTCTGGGAAGGACAAGTCAGAAAGTCAAAAATATTTTTGTTCCAGGCAAGTGAAGTTGAAAGATGTTCTACTTCAGAGTATACAAACTTAATTGTTCGTATGAATCATTGCAAGAAGAATAATGAAGGAGACAAGAAGGAACTGAAGAAGATTATCTCTTGGTATACTGAGATACGAAGAATAATGTTGTACTCTATTCAACTTCTTACAAACTGAAGTCTTCAACTCTGTTTACAAAGGGGGAGAATGTAAGGTTAGTTTGGTTGTAAAGAGTCGAAGTCTTATATGTACTCTTCGTATGTTCTGTTATCTATTATACTAAGGAATATTATTCAAAGCTTAGGTGTCTAGTCCTTAGTATATTTTTTGTACGCTTTTATTCTCTTATAAATAGGAGTCTTTACTAGAGTTAGATAAGTTTTTTATAGTCTTGTCTACTTTTGCACTTTGTAAACCTAAAGCGTAATATTGAGCTGAATCAAGATCTTATTTACATCGGTGTTCAATCTTACATACATTTTCTGATTTCTAACATTGATTAATATTCAAACTCGATTCTTAGATTCTACACAAAACCCCAAAGGAACTGCATAAAGCTGGATGATTGGGACTCTCTGGACCTCCCAAGGTCCAGATCTAAGGTCTATTTCACATTGAGACTTCTCATGCTTCTTATTCCAACTCAAGAAAGAGTAAATAAACCCTTGATTAAATAAGCCTACACAATAAAGAAGGAAAAGGGTTGAATTGATACCTCAAAGTGAAGTCTCCTTGCTTGAAAGTCTCAGAACAAAAACCTCCTTTGGTCCTTCTTGCTGGATCACTTCTCCTCCTTAGCAAACTCACAACAAATGGCTCAAGATGGCTCTTTCTCTCTCACTTCACACGCTCATATATGCTAGGGTTCTTTTCTCTGGAAAGGATGGACGCAAATGAAGGCCATAAGGACATTTAAATAGGGCACATGCCCAAGGATTTAGGGTTTCTGTCATTAGCACGGACTCGTCGAGTCCATTGTCTAACTCGTCAAGTCCACTCATTAATCCAAGTCATCATTCACGATCCTACTCGACGAGTTAGGGCATCAACTCGTCAAGTCAATCCTTATATCTCAAAATAAATAATCACATGATCATACCTAGGAATCCAGATGTTAGAGTTTTCCCCCACTAGAATCAGACTTCGCCCTTGAAGTCTTACTCAAACAAATCTGGATGTTGCTCCCTCATCTCTTGTGACAATCCGAAATTTATTCAATCACTTTTAACGCTTTCTTCCGTTAATAAGCCTCGTATATTTAACTGTCCGTTAACTTTTGGACTGGTTAATTAATTTGGGACTTTTTGAATGACTTCATGAAGGTTGAAATAAATTAGAAACACCCACAAAATACCCTTAAAAATGTTTAGTTTCAACCAAGTCAAAAATTCAACCACTAAATCGGGTGCGACCAAAAGCCCCGTTTAACAGCGGTATCAGGTAGATTCCCACTGAGCCCCAACTCAAACCCCTATATAATGGTGAGTGGAGTCCATTAGAGACTTTTTCACTCTCTCTCCACTCTCTCTCTCTCTCTCTCTCTCTCTCTCTCTCTACAACTTGTTTTCAAGCCAAAAATGTCCGTTTCGAGCCCCAAACGAGTAAGCAATCTACCCTAACTTGTTGTAAAGCTTAACTAAAATGCAAATTCGTGTTTAATACATCAAATAGGGGCCAAGTTATGTTTTTATGGCCCAAGAACACTCTTGGACCGTGAACACCCCTAAATGGGGTTTTTAAGCCCCAAAACCCCTCCAAATTGCCCCTAAGGCTTAGATATGACTTGTGGACTTACACCTTCGAGTTTAGAACACCAAAACCTTGTGATATGGAGAGTAAACATGAGTTTACGGCCCAAGAACACTGTTGGACCTTAAACCCCTCTTCATAAGATGTGAACACCTTTTAAGGTGTTACAAATGCCCTCAAACACCTGCTATGGCCTTGGGAAATGTTTAGAAGCAACCCCCATCGAAGTAAAGGCTTTAAACTTTTAAAAAACCATGGACTTAGGAGTTTACGGCCGTAAACCCCCATATAATTGGTCCATGGGCCGTAAACTCCCATTAAGTGCCCAAATGATGCCCTAACACCCTCATTTGGCTTGGAATAATGCTTAGAGCTTTATACTCTATCATTTAAGGCTTGGAACTATGAAAGAAATGACCAAGTGAGAGTTTACGTCCATAAACTCCATGTTTATGGCCATGAACTCCTTAAATGGTCCCTTAAGAGCCTTATACCCCTTCATATGCATTATATTTGGACCTAGACTAATTCTATGAATGATATAAGGCCATTTAGCATCCTAGAACACTTCAACCATGAGTTTACGGCCATAAACTCATGGGGACATGGTCTTAGGGCCGTGAACCCTATAAAGAGTTTACTCTTGAAGAATAAACTCCCTATCTAAGCCATACACACCCTTAAAAGTTACCCGGGACACACCAAGCATTTAACCAAAGTGTTTTCCGCACTTTAGGATGCGTATACGTGTTTAATTAGTATTATATTTGCTAACTAGGTTATAACCCGTGGAAACCACGGTTGTTATTTTTATAATCATTGTATAGGAAAAAATAAAATAAAATATCAACAAAAAAATTATATCATAAATTTAATTGTAAGAAAACATAAAATAATGCAAAGTTTTATAAATTACATCAATGTATTTTCAAAGTAAATTGCCATAAGTTGTAAAATTGTTTTAATTAAAAAAAAGGACAAAAATATAAATGACATTGTTGTTATTAGCCAAAATAAGTATAATTTTATTGAAAAAATGAAAGGAGTAAAATATTCATTTACTTTCTATGTGTATACAAAAAAAAGTAGATTCATGGACAAAATAGAAAGAACATTGTACTTTCATAGGCAAAACAAAAAATAGTCTTGTAGTTTCACGGACAAACCAAAAATAACATTGTATTTTCTAAGGTTCAGCTGTTATTTGTAAACTGAAACTACAATTATGAAATTGTACTTAAAAAGTACAATGCTTAAATAAGAATAATGTGAAACTAAGACATTGACACTTGTTACTTTGACAAATACATAAGTTCATAAGTTGAACACACTATGCAAATAATCAAGTAAATGGTAAAAGCAGTAATTATAAACAATCAGTAATCAACCTAAAATTATCATAAATTCAATCAATTATAGAAAGTACTATGTTGATTCTAACCTATCGATGAAATATGACCAATGTACATTGTACTTACCTGTTTGTACCAACAGACATATAGATTCTAACCTGCTGATGAAATATGACGAATACAACCAGTGTACATTGTACTTACCTGTTTGTACCAACAGACATATAGATTCTAACCTGTTGATGAAATATGACGAAGATATAAATTTAGGAGGTTTAAAAATCAGGACACATTTTCGTAAACAAATATATACATGTCGAAGCTTAAA